GGGGACCCTCCTGAGGGGCTGCACGGGGTGAGGGGCTGAGGGGATCGTCACCCCCCTGGGGCTGTGTGAGGGGACCCCCCTGGAGGGGCTGGGGGGGACCCTACTGGGGGGCTGCACATGGGGGTGTGTGGAGCTCCCCAGGGGCTGCTGCTTCAGGTGGGGAACCCCTCTCAGAGCAAGGTGCCCCGCTTCCTCACTTCCTGTTGATCCCTTTATTTTTGCTCTAATTAGCCAGTATTTCTGTTGAGGAAGCCTTATTCCTGACTCTGGCAAATGTGTGAAGCTTCAGACTTCATCCTGCTCCAGCTGTGCCAGTTGTAGTTTGAAAAATGACTCTTTGAGTTTGAGTCTTGAAGAGCATCTACAAGATGCTGCTTGAAGAGCATCAGCAGATTTCCTTCCTGGGTGTGCTTTGCTGCTGTGTGTGTGTGTGTATGTGTCTGCAGTTGGTCTGATCACTGAAACTCAGCACCAGGGCTTGGAAAACCTGGGTTCTCACTTCTGACTCTCCCACCTATGCAAACGTTTCCCTTTGCACTTCATTTTTCCTGGCTATTTTCTTCCAAAAATTCCCGTGGGGTGAGGATTTGTGTTGTTGCTTCATTGCTGGAACAGCAATTTTTAAAAAACTTTTACGTGCAAGATTGAGGTGGGAAGGGGGATTTAAAGGTCAGGTGGCAGAGAATAATATTTTGTGGTCGTGTTGGTTTTGTTTTTGTGCCTTAAAGCAGCTTTTTCAGTTGGGTTTCCAGAGCCACCTGGAGTTGGGAGGCTTGTGTGCTGCAGTTACACTGAGGTGCTTCATGACCAACATCCTCTGTGCTTTCCCTGGGCAGCTGAACCAGGCTGTAAAGTGTCTTCTTTTAAAAACTATGCATCCCAAATACATTTTTCTTTCAGGTGTTTGTTTGGCCTGTCCCAACAGCCACTGTGCCTTTTTAAGGTCATTTGTTAACTGTAAAGTTAATTTGAAGAGGTGTAAAGACCTCCCAACTCCACTTCCCATGGAAGTACCAGGAACCTGGCAGGTATTCCACAGGTGGCAAAGAATTATTTCCTGTGATCTAGCAATGAGGAAAACAGATCCCTTTGCTTCCTCTTATCCATAATCCTGAATAACAGGCCATTCCCTCATCCCTGTTTAATCATTAACAGGTGTCTCATCTTGGCAGTTCTGTCTGTCACCTGTTAAAGCTGGTGCTTGGTTTGGTAAACACACTGAGCAAACAGGCCTGCATGAGGGAGGCAGTGCAGGCAGCCTGGTGGGTCACCTGTGTTGTCACAGGTGTGACGTGGAGCCTTCTGGCTGAGACACTCAGTGAATCACTGGGGTGATGGGGCTGGCTGGGGAAAGGAAAGAGGCTTCTTCCTACCGCCGGTTTGAAACGGAACATGAGTGCAAATCATCTCTGTACTCAGTGAAGTGTTATTGTAGGGAGGTTTCTTGAGAGTGTGAGATGCTTTCCTTTTCCAAGGGCTAAATATCCTAGTCAGTGTCTAATCTTTTTGGTTTTTTTTTCTAAGAGAAAGAGCTTCCCAGAGGGACACAAAAGTGCCACAGGTGTTGACTTCAGACGAGGTCCGTGGTGTCTATGTGTGCTCTTCAGGAGCTTCAACTGCAGATGAAGCAGAGGGCAGCTCTGGTTTCACTCACCTTTCCTTACATCCCCAAGGAGCATCATGTGGCAGGATACAACCAGGGGGAAACAGCATCTTGAGAGGTGAAAGAACAAACCAACATCTTCCTTACCCACGTGTCTTCTGTTCCAGAACCCCTGCTGCAGCCATGATGCCCGTGGCAGCCGTGATGCCTGATGACACGAACCCCTCTCAGAGCAAGGTGCCCCGCTTCCTCACTTCCTGTTGATCCCTTTATTTTTGCTCTAATTAGCCAGTATTTCTGTTGAGGAAGCCTTATTCCTGACTCTGGCAAACGTGTGAAGCTTCAGACTTCATCCTGCTCCAGCTGTGCCAGTTGTAGTTTGAAAAATGACTCTTTGAGTTTGAGTCTTGAAGAGCATCTACAAGATGCTGCTTGAAGAGCATCAGCAGATTTCCTTCCTGGGTGTGCTTTGCTGCTGTGTGTGTGTGTGTATGTGTCTGCAGTTGGTCTGATCACTGAAACTCAGCACCAGGGCTTGGAAAACCTGGGTTCTCACTTCTGACTCTCCCACCTATGCAAACGTTTCCCTTTGCACTTCATTTTTCCTGCTGTTTTCTTCCAAAAATTTCCATGGGGTGAGGATTTGTGTTGCTGCTTCATTGCTGGAACAGCAATTTTTAAAAAACTTTTACGTGCAAGATTGAGGTGGGAAGGGGGATTTAAAGGTCAGGTGGCAGAGAATAATATTTTGTGGTCGTGTTGGTTTTGTTTTTGTGCCTTAAAGCAGCTTTTTCAGTTGGGTTTCCAGAGCCACCTGGAGTTGGGAGGCTTGTGTGCTGCAGTTACACTGAGGTGCTTCATGACCAACATCCTCTGTGCTTTCCCTGGGCAGCTGAACCAGGCTGTAAAGTGTCTTCTTTTAAAAACTATGCATCCCAAATACATTTTTCTTTCAGGTGTTTGTTTGGCCTGTCCCAACAGCCACTGTGCCTTTTTAAGGTCATTTGTTAACTGTAAAGTTAATTTGAAGAGGTGTAAAGACCTCCCAACTCCACTTCCCATGGAAGTACCAGGAACCTGGCAGGTATTCCACAGGTGGCAAAGAATTATTTCCTGTGATCTAGCAATGAGGAAAACAGATCCCTTTGCTTCCTCTTATCCATAATCCTGAATAACAGGCCATTCCCTCATCCCTGTTTAATCATTAACAGGTGTCTCATCTTGGCAGTTCTGTCTGTCACCTGTTAAAGCTGGTGCTTGGTTTGGTAAACACACTGAGCAAACAGGCCTGCATGAGGGAGGCAGTGCAGGCAGCCTGGTGGGTCACCTGTGTTGTCACAGGTGTGACGTGGAGCCTTCTGGCTGAGACACTCAGTGAATCACTGGGGTGATGGGGCTGGCTGGGGAAAGGAAAGAGGCTTCTTCCTACCGCCGGTTTGAAACGGAACATGAGTGCAAATCATCTCTGTACTCAGTGAAGTGTTATTGTAGGGAGGTTTCTTGAGAGTGTGAGATGCTTTCCTTTTCCAAGGGCTAAATATCCTAGTCAGTGTCTAATCTTTTTGGTTTTTTTTTCTAAGAGAAAGAGCTTCCCAGAGGGACACAAAAGTGCCACAGGTGTTGACTTCAGACGAGGTCCGTGGTGTCTATGTGTGCTCTTCAGGAGCTTCAACTGCAGATGAAGCAGAGGGCAGCTCTGGTTTCACTCACCTTTCCTTACATCCCCAAGGAGCATCATGTGGCAGGATACAACCAGGGGGAAACAGCATCTTGAGAGGTGAAAGAACAAACCAACATCTTCCTTACCCACGTGTCTTCTGTTCCAGAACCCCTGCTGCAGCCATGATGCCCGTGGCAGCCGTGATGCCTGATGACACACCCATGTTTGACCCAAACCTTCTGCATGAGCTCGACTGGAGTGAGAACACCACCACGTTTTCTCCTGCCATTTCTCCCTTGGATCCAGGAGATGGCCTCGTTTTGAGGCCACTTTGCACAGCTGATATAAACCGAGGTAAAATCCTGTTGAAATCAGCATGTCAGATGAAGGTCCTGAACTAGGTAGTATCCTGGAATCATGGAATGGTTTGGGTTGGAAGGGACTTTCAAGATCATCCAGTTCCAACCCCCTGTGTGAGCAGGGACCCCTCCCACCAGCCCAGGTTGCTCCAAGCCCCATCCAACCTGCCCTTCAACACTGCCAGGGATGGGGCAGCCACAGCTTCTCTGGGCAACCTGGGCCAGGGTCTCACCACCCTCACACTCAAATGTATTTCTGCCTGATCTCCCAATAGATCAGGGTTGCTCTTTTTATCTGATTGGGGCTATTCTTTTCAACAAGAATTCTGAGCACTTGGCACCCTGGATTGGTGCTGTGTTGGGTGACCCTCAGAATTTATTTTACTGTTTTCACCTCAAAACCAATCTTGAAATTCAAGTCGAATCTTCCACATAACCCACAGCTTCCCATTCACCACAGCTTTAGGGAGGAAGCAGAGCTGTTCATCCTGTTGCCTTTAATATAAAATAATGTGAACCAGCTTATTCTTCAGTTCTTTAACTTAAACAAAAAGGTGGTTCTGAACGTACAGCTTAATATTCCATCATTTCAAGCTTGTACTTTGTTTTAATTTCTGCATCTCCTGCACTCAAGATGCACTTTGCTGCTGATCCTTCAGAACTGCTCAGGGTGGGAGCTTGATTTTGAAGTCCAGGTCTGTGATATGCAGAACACAGGCCTTTACATGAGCAGGATGGTGCCCTTGGGATGTCAGCTCCCCAGACACTGTGTCGGGTGGTTGTGTGCTGCTTGGAGCTGGTTGTCTCTGTCCCTCACTCAGAGTTTGGGTTTTTTCCCTTCTTTTATAACAGGCTTCTTTAAGGTTCTGGGCCAGCTGACTGAAACTGGAGTTGCGAGCCCGGAGCAGTTTATCAGTGAGTGTATCATGATTTCTTGGCATTTCCACAGAGGTTGCTGGGACCTGAATCACAGAATCCTAGGGGTTGGAAAGGACCTGGAAAGATCACCCAGCCCAACCGCCCTGCCAGAGCAGGGTCACCCAGAACACATCACACAGGAATTTGCGCAGGCAGGTTTTGAATGTCTCCGGAGAAGGAGACTCCACAGCCTCTCTGGGCAGCCTGTCCCAGGGCTCTGTCACTCTCACAGTATAGAAGTTTTTTAAAGAAATTTTAAAACTTCTTTACCTGGGGAATACTGATGCTGACAGCACATCTGCTTGGGTCTGAGGCTCCCGACAAGCCTGATGCCAGAGGGACTCATGAGCTCAGCTCCCCTGAGGCAGCCATTGGCACTCACTGCTGGATCCACTACAGCCATCCCAAAGGGCTTCTTGGCTGGGACAGGCCTCAGTTGTAGACCTGCTTTTGGGACTGAGCTTTGGGTACCTGGCAGAAGGGATGTGGGGGTGACAGTTGTTGTGGCTGGGGTGGCAAGGCCCTGTCTTAACTTGGAGGGTAGCTCAGCAGCATCCTCAGCTTGCTGCACTGGTTTGGCTGGGATGTAAGAAAACTTAAAGAGGTGCTGCCACCCTCACTGCAGTGCCCATCTGCAGAGGTGCTGGGGCAGGAGGGCTCTCTTGGCAGCTGAGGAAAAGGCATTTGTTTCATTTCTGCTTTTTTTCTGGTTCTTTTGGGTTAGTTTGATCCCAGGTTCTGGGGTGTTGTTGTTGTTCCTTGTGATCCTGAGCCCTGCAAGTGATCCACGTCTTGACTCCCTTGCAAGTGGTGGGCTTGCCAGGGATTTAACCCAGGATGAACAGGGATTGTCCCTCTGTCTGTCTGTCTGCTCCCACAGAAACCTTTGAGCACATGAAGAGATCCGGGGATTACTACGTGACCGTGGTGGAAGACACAAATCTTGGGCAGGTCGTTGCCACAGCAACGCTGGTGATCGAGCACAAGTTCACTCACTCCTGTGCAAAGGTAAATCCTCTCCCTGCAGCTGTCAAGTGAGGAGAAGGACCCTGTTCCCAGGCTCCGTGCATCCTGTTGTTATAGCGTTACTGTGTGATGAAATACCCCCTGCTGGGTCAGTGACAAAGGCACTTTGAAGTATCTCCCACCCTTGGGTGCTCAGCTAAAGAGTAAAAAGGGAAGCTGTGGCTTTTCTGAAGGAAAAGGGGTGATGGTGTCTGTCCTGTCCTGCCTCCCCGTGAGCTTCTGAACTAGTCAGGCTTGGTTCTGAGGGAGCAGATGGCTGAGATCTCACTGCTGGAGTCCCAGCTAGACGTGTGAAAACAAGGAGCTGTAGGAACACAAATCCCTCTGCGGGGATGGGCTGGGGTGGGAATGGAGCTCCCGCGGGGTGCTGGACAGGGCGTCGTGAGCATTCCGGCCGCTGGAGGAGCTGTGTCGATCCAGACAGCAGGAAAACCAAGCAGGAAGTTGAGAGCAAGGGGGAAACCCAACACCGTGGAGTTCTGTTGGACTAACCCTGCTGGTGTTTCCACAGAGAGGAAGGATAGAAGATGTCGTGGTGAGCAGGGAGTGCAGAGGGAAGCAGCTTGGTAAACTGTGAGTATTCCTCCCCCTTGGCCGTGCCAGGGCAGGCAGGCAGCCCCTCACCCAGCTGCTTCCTGCCCCCCACCTTACTCCCCCAGCAAACAAGCCACCAGGTGTGATAACTCCAGCTAATTAAATGCTAATTGATCCAGGGCTGTTTCCTGTAACTGTTGGTCTTCTGTCTCTTTCAGATTAACGTCCACCCTGACCTTGCTAAGTAAGAGACTGAACTGTTACAAAATCACACTTGAGTGTCTGCCCAAAAATGTGGATTTCTACAAGAAGTTTGGCTACTCAGTGTCTGAAGAAAACTACATGTTTCAACGGTTCTTTAATTAGGAACTTCTAGTCTTTGTTTTGGTTTTTTTTTAAAGACTGCTGGTGGAGGAGCTTGTGCTACAGAACATTCTCTTCGTGGAAGATTTATATAGTTTATTGCTGCAAATATAACAATCCCTATAAATAATGATCATCCAATGTGTAAATCCTGCAAAAAAAAAAATTATTGACACATTAGAAGGGTCCTTTGGGTTAGGAAATGAGCTCTTAGAACTAATTTTTACTACTGTTCAGTCTAAGTGAAGCTTTTTTGTTCTAGCTGAGTGACAAAGGACTTGTTAAAGGGATGGTTTTTAACCAAAGGTATATATTTTTATCTCAAATTTTTTCTTGCATCGTATTTTTCTAAAAGTTTGTGCTTCTTTTCTTGGTAGCCAAAGTACAGCTGGTGGGATTGTGCTCCTGTCTGTGCTTTCAGGATGGATGATGGAGCTCGGGTAGATGATGCTTCTCTGATGCAGAACAGGCATTTGTTGGTCTTCCCTTGAAACCTCACTGAGTCTTGTCAGTGTTTGTGTACCTGAAGTTTTATAGGCACTATTTTCCAAAACCAAATTTGTTCCTATTTGATGGAGAGAGGGGAGAATCCTTAGGGGCTGTGCTAAAGCTTTTCCAAGTCTAAAAAAAATGGATGTGTACTCACTGCAGGGGTCCTGCACTTTAGCTGATTACTTACTTTGTTTTCAGGATAATGACTTGTTTTCTGACACACAGAAAAACAATCCGATGGCTTGTGACAGGGCAGAGGTAACCAGGGCTGACAGAGAATACCCCTCCCCTTGGGAATGGGGCTCTGGCTCAAGGGGAATGTGGTTTGGGATTGGCACGTGGCACCTGGCCAGCTCACTGGAACTAGAACTCCTGAGGACCAGGTGTTTTTTTTCTGGGAACAGCTTCTGCCTCCAGCACAGCAAAGCAGCAGAGGGAACCCCCTTCCTGTTCCCCAGGGATTGCTGCTGCTTTGGAGTATCCCTCTGGCTAGAAGATGGGAGGAATGATTTCAGCACTTTTGCCAGCCATGGCAAGCACAGGACATCCACAGCAGGGGTTCCAGCAGTGGGGTGTTGTGCAGAGGGGGTGACACCCCCCAGCTGTGAACGGGGCATTATGGACACCTGAGGGTTGGCACAGAACAGCCCCTGGTTTGGGAACACTTGGGCCTTACACAACCTTCTCCCCTTGTGGCATGGAGAGCTACTCTAAGCTGTGGTGGAGGTTCTGTTTCATGTTCCTGTTGGTACTCCACTTGATGTAGTGTTTCCTTGGTGATGTCTAGTTTATTTATTGATTATTTTTATTTTTTTTTTATCTTTAAGCTGAATAAATGAAGACTGCCAAATGGTGCTGCCCTGGTTTTCTGGTTTGCATGTTGCTGTGTTGGGCCTAGCAGGAGGTGTCTTGTCTTGCAGAACAGGACCACCTGCTGCAAATGCATTTGTTTTCCATTTCCTGGGCTGCAAAGGACATTTTGGAGGCTCCATATTGATTTTTAAGCATGAGTTTGATGTGTGTTTGTGTCTGTGCAAGGAGGACTTCCAGGCACCCCATTCTCTTAGGGGTATTTGCTGGGCTTCTGTTAGATCCTGCCTCATGGATGCAGGAGGAAGGTGTAACTGATTGTAAATCTCCTCAGGCAGATCGAGGTGAAATGACACTCAAGGTCTGTACCTGATCAGTAGCTTTAGTTAAAATACAGAAGAATAACTGGAAAAGGCTTTGATTACAGAAGTCATGGTGTATATATGCTGGACAGGGTGGTGGGCCTTGGGTTACTGAATTGTTTTAGGATGGAAAAGAGAGAGAAGAGGAGAAGGGAAGTTGGAGAGATCACCAGCCCTGCATCCAGGGCTGGGCCAGCCCCTGGGCTGTTCATTGCAGAAAGGGGCACCAGCTGGTAAATCCACAACATCAGAACCCAGGGATGGTCCTTCCTGGTTTCTATCAATTTTCCCCCCTTTCAGGCTAGTGCAAACCACCCCTTGCTGAGAGGTTTCATTTCAGGGCAGAGTCCAAAAGGTTTATGTGAGTGAGACATTTCTTGGTCCAGGGGGTCTCTACCTCTTTGCTCTCAAAGTCTCATCTCTTGCATCACCACACACACCCTTCTCAGCTTTGTCCCAGGGGATTAGTGCCAGGACCACCATCTGGGTGGGCTTGTCCCTTCATTTGGCCTCCATCAGCTTCTCCTAGCTTGCTCTGCTGTCAGAAGATCCAAGTGGCTTCAGCCCAAACCCTCAACTAATTGTATAAAATCAACTACAGGGCCCAAACGACTGAGGTGGATTTTCTTGCCTCTCAGTTTTAATTATTCTGAATTTCCATGCATTTAAAGTGGATTGTTTGAATTCCATGCTATCTGCACTATCTGATTAACTCCAGGCCCTCGTTAGAAGTTAATGAAAAGATGAGGCCACATGAGGAGCAGGTGACTGTGTACCCAGCCTTAGACCACTGGAAAAGGAAGGAACTGGGTTGGAAGCCTGAGTCTGTGGCTGCCCAGTCTGGATCCTCAGCCTCCCTTGGGCTTGGAAGTTCCTTGTTCTGTACCAGGGGTGACATTCCCTACCTTGGCAGGCCCAAACCCCCGTGGAAACAGCACTTGGTGCTGAGAGGGGCAGACAGCAGTGCCTGGTTTCAGGCAAGCCCCACACAACTTCCAGTAGTTTAAACTGTCACAGTTCACAGGGACCAGGAAGGTGCCACAAACACCAGCTCTTAACAGCAACAGGTGGTGTTAAAATAACATTCTGCATCTCCTGCACTGAAGGGGCCTTGGGAATTTATCTACAGCTGGTTCAGGAAAGAGCAAGACCTGCCCCTCACAGGAAACAGAGGAACCAAGGATCCCACCAGAAACCAACTCTAACCAGCAGCTTCTCCAGAGGTTTAATGTTACCTCCTCTTCCAGACTGCATTTTTGGGTAACAGCTCTTCCCCCCCAAGAGGAGATCTTCAGCTCCTTCACTCTGCTTCCCCTAAGCTGGAAAAGGGAACTTTGGCACCTTAACACAGAGCTGTGAATTCCCAAAGATCCAGGCACTGCAGCTTTGTGTCTGAGCCTGGGAAAGGGAGGAAAATTCAACCTCTACTGCTGCTCTAAGGCCACAGGGAGAGGCTCCTGCTGCTAATTCTAACCCCAGAAAGCAAACAGGAATTGAGATACCTACTGGCTAAGCTAAGTGAGACAGACGTCAAGTTTTAAATAAAAGACTTCATAATAGAAATGAGGAAAACTAATCTCAGAATCCCTTAGGATCTGAGAGGCTGTTATCTCAAGGCAGCAGGCAGACCAACCAGCATGACTGTAGAAGGCATCAGAGGGGGCGATGGCATGGAAAAAAATAAGATTGATGGGAAATCCTTAGTCATGAAGCTTATTAGTTTGTGAAACAGTCTCCCCAAGGAAGCACCAGGAGCCCAGTAAGACAACAGAACCAGACTACACATGAGCAAGCCTCTCTGGCAGGGGACAGTCAGATGAATCACTGGTTCTTCCATCTGTGTTTCATCTCTGCCCCATCCCCAGGGAGCTGCAGCAGAAAGTAAACTTGTGCAGAACTTCTGGTTCCCATCCTTCTTTCCTCAGAAGCTCGTAGCTGGCAGTGCTGGGTGAGCAGCACAGAAGACAGATGTCCCACAGACACTGCTGCAGCCACGTGGGCAAGTGGTGAAACATCTGAGGATGTTTCCCAAGAACCCTCCGAGGATTCTTCTGCAGAGAGTCACTGAACAGCACATCACAGACCCTACAAGCACAGAACCAGCACCACGTGCTTGGCCAGTCAGCTTGATCCTGACAAGTTCAGGTCTTTAGTAGGTAACAGTAACATTTCCTCTTTTCAAACAGGAACTATTTCCTAGAAAACGATACATTTCTACAAGATTTTCTTCCTGATGGATTCGTGCTGCTCCATCACCGACAGGTGGCAGAGGACAGACAGGGGAAGTGCTGCTGACCCCTCCCCACGTGCAACATTCCAGGGCCCTCACATCCCACCCCAGAAGGTTATTAAGCTGTAAGGCCTCCCCAGGTGTCCTCAGCCCAAAGCCCTGACTCCTGCAGGGTTTCCAGGTGTCACCTCCCAGCAGCATGTTTTAACCCCAGCAGTATTCAAACCAGAACCTGCAACTGCTTGCAAGAACCTTGCCACAGGCCAAGACTGCCCCCCTGCCAGCCTTCCCAGGAGCTGCAAGACAGAGCAGAGCATCAGTGACTCAGCAGAGGTCAGCAAGTCACAGTCATGGTCAGCTTCCCCTGAACACACCGAGTGAGGCAGAACCACAGTGAACTTCCAGCTTCCAGCAACTGAACGAGCTGCTGGAGGACCCTGCAGCAGCAGGAAGCATCAGAAGGGATCATCAGAGCACAAAATGGCTTCTCTGTTGAGATTCATGCCTTCAAATGCCAAGGTATCTGCCCTCAGAGGGCCCCTCTTGGCACAGGTTGCTCCTCCTGAGGCTGGCAGAGGACACTGCCCATTCCCACACAGCCAGGTCAGCACAGGGACAGCTGGGTGTCCAGATCCCCAAAGGTCTCTTCTGCATTGACTCAGCTCTCTCAGGCCCACCTGTTCCCTGTTCAATATCATCTACTTACAAGCTCAGATTTCCCAAATACACAAGCTTTGGAATCTGTTCCCTCAACACAGCACTCTGAAGGAGCCATCATTTCATCCCTGCCTTTCACCCAACAGACTGGCTGGCAAACTGAGCAGAGATGCAGAGCTGAGACTCTTCTTGCATACCCAGTGGTTATCAGGGTGTTTCTGAGCAGGGAGAGGAGTCCAAGCTGCAGGAACTGCCTCAGAAACCCCCATCTGAAAACTTTACAGCCCTGATCAGTGTGTGGCCTTCATTGACTCTAATGCTTGAGCAAGAGCTGAGTTGAATCCTTTGGGCCTTGACACTGTTACACCCAGTGCTTTGGGCCTCAATTTTCCAACACCAACACAATTTTTACCTCAAAGGGAACTGCTCCTTCAATACCAGTTTGGTCCATCTGTGTACTAGAACATTGAATCTTCAAACTGGTATTGAAGGAGTTAACAAGCAATTCTTTAATGCTAGCTGAAAGAATTCAGCCTTGATGTGTGTAAATGGGCAGCTGCCCTGTGTGGTAACATGACAGTCCTGTGCTAATTCAGTTATTTATCAGGACTC